GGCATTTCCTTCTGCACAAGCGTTCACGCTGAGGAGAGAGTATTGCAAAATAGCGGTAGCTGTGGGGAATGGGAAAATTTAACCCTTCACAGGGAGGGAGTTAGCAGATGAGAAGAGAGAGTAAAACCTATTTGAACCGAGTGTGGAGATCCACAGGGAATACCAACCTCTGTTGCCCACGAAGTGTAGCTGAGGTCATCTTCAAGCCTGCACGGCTGTGCAGCCTGGCTTTCTTCTGGGGACGTGCTGATGACAGGCTGCCATCATTCTGCACCGTGGCCGTCCATCGGGCTGGCCCCCGAAGGAGGAGGTAGACAGAACACAGGTTTGATCTTAACGCATAGCTGGGGGCTTTGCCTTCTTGAAGGTTTTGGGTAGAAAAGCTGTATTTGCTGATTTTCGTGTTATAAGGAGATTGTGGGCTTTCTTCAGAAAGGATGTGATAAACCTCAGACTTCCAGTTGCTTTGAGAAAATATTTCACTCTCAAGAAATTGGCTGTTGGGTTAAAACCTCTGAAGGGGTGTAAAGCATGGGATACTTTTGGTGTATATTGCCAGTCAAGAACTACTCCCAAATTTCATTGACACGAGTGTTTCCAAAGAAAATATGCAGCTCAGAGCTGTAGCTGTTGAATTTGCTTCTTGAGTTTGTCCAGGTGAACCTCCAAGTTGGACAGAAAAGAGGGGGAAGGTGCCTTATCCATATTTATTTGTGGGTTTGCTGGACTTCATTTATTTCCTGAGCCTCAGGAGCATCTCTGCTACTGCTTTGCTTGGTGAGAGCAAGCAGATCAGGAGACATTTCAAATAATAGGTTTGAGAAGCAGGTGAGGATAATGCTTGGACCTGTAATTCAAGCTCTTATTGCATAGGTTGCAAAAGACTGGTTGACTTGTGGACACACTATTAGGTGGTTTGCTCCTCCTTTGTTCAGACCTGGGGAAAAAAAGAAGATATAAATAGTAATGTTATCACTCCCTTCATAAGAGAGGGCTTTTGGAGGGATTGTCTCAGTATTCTCATTCTCGGGTCTTCATTTAGATAACGTGACTTCCCCTTACTCCTTGGAAGTCAATGAGGTTTATACCAGAGCCTTGGCACTCTATAAATTAAATATTAGGAGCAGTGTTTGAAGTTTAAAGCCCTCCCTCCTCCCGCTAGCTCAGATTTTCTGCTGCTGTGCTTTTTTCTTTATGCCTGACCACCTTGCTGACAAGTGCTAATAACAAAATGCCAAGGGAGGGTCCAGTCGGAGTTACCACACATTAAACATTCTGAACTTGTCCTTTTGCTCATAGATTGTGCATAATTAATAATTAAACGGTTTCAGTTGTAATGGGTTGACCTTCTTGAACTGTTCATTATTCACAAGGCAAAGGCATCACTCAAACTTTTTTCCTGTTGCCCTTCCCCGTTCTCACTGTGTGTGCACAGTTCGGCTGGTTTTGAGAAATCAGAGGCTGATCTTGTCTTCTCCTGCAGCGCATCCCAGTTACGGAAATGTTGCTTGGATGCTTAGGGAAATAGCCAGGCTTGGGAATAAGCTGCCTGGGGGTGTAAGAGGCCAGTGGTACATTGAACCTTACAACCATCTGTGTCTCTACTGCCGTTTTAGCAGCATCCCCGATATATAGGTCTTCATGATATTCGTTAAAAAATATGGTATTTAACGAAAATGAAAGAACCATTTCCCACTTCAAAATGAGTATACCTATTCCTCACTCCTTTAAAATCTTGGTTTTCTACTTTTTTTGCCTCTATAGTGTGATTTCATTGTGCGGGTGGGTAAGATAAGGCAGGCCATTGGAGTACAGCTGGACCGTTCCCTATGGTTACATCAAATGTGACTGTATTGCATCACACAGACGGGGTAGACGTGGTAGAGACATGTGTAGCTTTGCTATATTTCCTCATGTTCCCGTCTCTTTGAGTGTCAGCCAAAGTCCGGGGAACTTCAGGATACAATATGGGATGTATTTACTTTGTGTAGTTGTGGAAATTTTTGCTTTATACTGGATACGACACTGATTGCTCAAGTTACAGAGGTAGCAATACCAACGCTTTCTTTCATTAGAAATAGCTCTAACTACAAAATACTCTCACCTTTCTACTACTGAAATGGTCTTGCACAGAACAATATCAGAAATAGAAATATTTCAGTCATTGGTTTCCCTGGGCAGGTACTGAATGGATGTTTTCTCTAAGCTAAAATGCAGCATTTGAGGCAGCTTTTCACCTTTGGAAGCAGTTGAGGGTCCGTACTGGCCCAGTTCAGCTAAAACCAAAACCTGCCTCCTCCTCCCCTATCTTACCTCTGCTGTAAAGTAACAATTGGCTCATAGGTAGAGGAGTGAGATTCGTTTTTATCTGCACTGCTCTTTTTGCCCTCAAACACACCTGCCAGCAAGCATTTCCTTGAGGTTGATGCACTCTCCCAAAAGGCTTTCAATTTGTCAGGCAAATAGCCAAAAAATTTGTGGCTGCCCAGTCTAAAATCCTTGGGAAGACTATGTTAAAGCATCTAGTTTTCATACTGAGATCCAGTTTGTGTTCATCTTCACCCACCCGCCCACAATCTCTTCCTGAGCTGCTGAGAGCAAACCAACCAAGGCATGGCCATGACTGACAGGTCTACAGCAGAAGAGAGGAGGCCTGGATGGGACTGAAATACCTGCATTGTACAGAAAGATGTGCCAAAAAAATATAGCATTTTACATTTAGTTTCATCCAGGTGAGATTTTTCTTGCACGCTTATGCAGGAGCACCTTGTCTTCTGTCTACAGGAGCTGTGTGGTCAAGGCGTTAATACTGACGGAGCAAGTCCTTCCCTTGCCTGCATGAACCCTGATGCCACCTTAGCTTGGGATAGCCAAAGCGAAATGCTGGTGGCTTCAGAGCCGTTCATCAGCTTCGCTCTATTATGGGTCCGTCATCTCTTTGTGATTGCAGAAATTATCACCTACCAAATTAGTGTGAAGTGCCAGATTCCTGTCCTGTTCCCCAGCGTGGACTGATCCGAGGTGGCAGCCCCGTTATGGGGAGGCTTGTAAGAAGCTCCTCACTTGCATTTTACTTAAGCAGCCGGGGTAGATTGCTGGGCAGAGCCGGTTCCCTGGGGAATGGGCTCCGATTGCTTTGCCCTGTGGTTTTCAAAACGATCTGTAATATGCGCCCCGAGTATTTTGTACCTGTTCTGCTTTGAGTCTGTCCCACCTGGGAAAGCAGCATTTGCCGCTTCGGGTGGGAGCCCAGGAAGGCTCTGCTGGACAAGAGAAAACGATGGGGAGAGGCAAAACCTGCTGGGCTCCGTGCCGTATAAGCAAGCCTGCCATTCTGCTCTGCGTTTTCTGTATTAATATGAATAATTTTCATGCGCGGTTCTTTGAAGTGGAGCAAGTTTAATTGCGCTGCTTATTTCCTTATGTTCCTTACACTCTCCAGTGGAAACCTTCCTATATTGATGTCATTTATAAGTTTAGAAACAATAACCTCTCCCTCACCCGGTCTAAGTTCAAAGAGAATTTGGGCATGTTATATCAAACACTCCTTGTATAGAACAGAAGTCTTTGAAAATTGTAAAGCAATTTTGGCTTCTCCTTTTACTCTTCAGTTACTTTTGATTTAATTGTATTTTCCAGCGGTTTCCAATTGTTTGAATTGGAAACAAAGCCTTAATAAGAGTTCTAGTTAATTTTCTGTCTTGTAATTACCGATCTCATTTTTCTGATAATTGGCCACAGCAATTATATGTATATTTACTAATCACATAGGAGGCTCTGCAGTTGTGTCTATCTGCCACCATTGATAATGGCACACACATTGCAGAGGTGCTTTTATCATCTTCTTTTTTCCACTACATCAAAGCTATTTCCTCGCATTCTCAATAATGAATACATGCATGCATTTGACACAGTTGTGTGCTAGAGAAATTGTTTGGCTCCCACCAAATGCTGCACGCTCTGAGTTTCTTGCCTGCAGCGCTGGAAGGTTGTATGTAATGATATATTGCTCATCCAAATGGCCAAAGCACTCCAAAGCACAGTGAGATTAAAATAAGTCATTCCTTTGTTAATTTAAATAGGTGCATGTATCATACTTTGCAGGGTACTTTGTGTAGGGATGTCAGGGAGGAAAAAAGCCGCCGAAAGGTATTTTTAATAGCAAATGAGAATAGATGAGAATGGAGTCATTTGCAGCTGCCTGTTTTATGTGGCTCTCTTGTTCCAACTGTAGGTCTAATGAGATGACACTGTTAAAGTACTCTGCAGTGTAATTTCATTACATCCTGAGCTGTTACACTATAAACACAGTGGAGCTCTCTGTCATTCTTGGAAAAACTCCTAAATTCGTAAAGCCCTTCTTTGCAAATGGTGATGTTGTTTGTTCCCTGTTTGTAATTTTTTTTTTTTCCTTGTGCTCTTAATTTTTTTCCTTTTTTTTGTCTTTCATAAATACTGGGTGGTTATTTTCACCAGACTGGTAAATCCTGCATTTTTTCCTCTTAAAAATTCTTTCGCCTTTTAAATCTACAACAGACAGCATATGAGGACAGCCTCGAAAATGAATAAGTGTAAATAAACATGAGTGTAAATAAATAGCAAATGCAGTGAGAGAAACAAAGGTCAACAGAAGAATAATTTCACAGCTCTTTGTTAATTACAAGACCATTTGTGTGTTACTTAAATAATCATTTTTCCCTACCTTCCTTTTTACCCTGTGGCTATCATTGTCCTTTTTTCACCTCCCCTCAGTGTCTTTCCACATGTTTTTACCCATTGTGTAATACTCATTAGTTGAAATTCAGTGTTTTATAACACATTCTCAGAAGAATTTGTACCTTTCTCCCTCAAATTCTCTGTGTGAAAAGGGGGCTTTGTCGCTTCCTTGGATTTTTTTTTTTCCCCTTCTTTTTTTGTTGTCGCTGTTGTATTACTCTCCTTCTGAAAAAAAATTATCTTCTCTCCTTCTGACTCTGCTTCTTGTTTCAATCCAATCCCAGGAATCGCCCGTCCTTCCAGCCGGGGAGTTCTCTGAGCCATTTGTACACTTCATCACTCAATGGTAAGCTCAGTTTGCAAACATGCCATGCCCTCAATGTAAATGATACATGCCATTAACTCTGCAGCTCTGCGAGACCTTATGGCTTTCCTTGCATCCTTTCTGAGAGAAGAGGGACTTGGGGGCCTTGGGCAGATGGGGCAGCAAAGCTAAGCAAACTGTTTAAATTATGTAAACGTTATTTACACAAAGGGTCGTAAAAGTACTTACAAGGGTTTTTCCTGTTTTAATAAACCTGCCCTGAATGTGGGTGCAGTCTTGTGCGCTGAGACTCCTAAGAATTCATCTGGGGGTAAAGAGGCCACAAAGACTCGTGTGTATAATATCATTATTCAGGGCTTTTTAAAATATTACTTATAAAATTGCCTCGATATTTAGAAAGGCAAGCGGCCTTGATTAATTCATTGGCTTTTCAGTAAGTAATTTTTACTAAGAGTCGTATTTTAAAACACACCACTGGGTATATTTTCTTTCCTTAAAACTGAATAGTTCATTGAAAACCTTTTAAATTAAAGGAGAATGGGGGAGAGGAGGAATTTGTAGAATAAAGAATACAGTTCTTGAGTGACTAGAGAATAAAAATGTTGAGGGTAAGCTCTCCTAAAGAAACAAAGTGAAAGGCAAATCTTTTTTTAACTGTCTCATTCCCCCCCACCCCCCCCCAATAAAAAGGGGGGGGGGGGGGGCAGTCATTTATGTACGGCAGAAGAAACAAGCTTGAATTTTGCACAAATACGATGTGTTTGACGGAGGAGCCTCCCTTCTGCGAACACGCGCTTCCAGGGCTGGATGCTCAGCTGTGCTAGATCAGATGGAGCCATCTCAGTGTGTGCCACCGAGCGCTGCAGCCGCGTGGCCGAGAGGGAATCCTGCTTCAGGGATGTGTCCTCGGCGAAAACAAGGTGCTCGAAGCCCTCGGCCCCACGCAGATCTCTAGGTCGGGCTTCGCAGGACTTTCGGGGTCTCTGCCGTGTGCCAGGGCCACTGCAGCCAAAGTCACCTAAATGAAACTGAATTTTGAATACGTGACATAGGAGAAAGTGCCTCTCAGGCCCGACACAGTACGTAACAAATAATACAGACACAAAAAGCGGTCTGATTATCGGTTAATTAAAGTAACTAAATAATTAAAGTTCGTGTAACATAGGCCTCCGTTTTCAATAGTCTCAGTTTACAAAGAGCAACGCTATTTGGAGGATTCTGCAGCGCAACTAACTGATGTGTGTGGAGGTCTATGCTTTTTATCCCTGCAAAAAATTGATGACAGGCTGTTTTAAAAAAAAAAAAATCCTCATTGAGGCAGAGGGAGGGATAACCTATGTTAAAATTTGCACAGATGTCAAACTGAAGCATAACTGATGGTGGCTAATAGCCTTGTTTTCCCTGGGGACGCAGCTACTTTGGACTGTCAGATTAGAACTGCTACCGACCTCCTCGTCAGGCAGCTTGCATTACTTGCTAATGCCTGCATTATTTGAGGTGCTTGTAGTTATTTGTAGGGAAGGTAAATTGTATCATTGATACCTCCGATTTACAGCACAGATCATCTAATATTTTAGATATAGTGTTACATTGGCTGTACCTTTTAGTGGGAGGCATTACTGTTTCAAAAAAGCAAATAAGAAGAAACTACATACTATTTAAGCCATCAATTCCTAATAAGTATTAGAGATGTCGAGTGAACGGCGTATCAGACTTTATGACTTTATGCCAATTACGCCATAAACGCTGGCTGTTTGGATGTAATCCAATTAGTCAGTAGGCAGCTCCTGATGGTCACCTCTGTGCCATGTTATTGTGTTCCGTCATGCAGCTAAGCACAGCCTTCAATAGCTAATTGCACCTGTTGCACAGAAAACTAGGACTATTTGGATGAGAAACATGATCTTATAAACAGGTTAATGCTGTGTAATGAACTATCACCCTGCAGTGTAATGGAAATAAATGTGAAAAAATTAAGGTAGAAACCCCAGGGTATTGTGCGTTCTCCTGAAGCGGTTTAGCGTTAGAGTTACATTTCCCACCTGTTTGTGTAAGACTTTGTGTCGAGCTATGTAATAATCCCTAGCAAAATGAGAATCAACTCACTGTGCCTTCTGAGCTGACTGGTTTTCAATGATCTCTATATTTACGCGCTTTCCTGGTTACAAACGGTGTAGACCACTACTTCCCATAAGGGAGGGACGGGAGGGAAGGAAGAAATCCATTAACATTTTGGCCGCTGTTTGGAACCCTGTCTTCCATCGGCACGTGATAAAGTGAAATACATTGAAATTCTTCGCTCTGTGTTAAAAGAGGATACCTTCAATATTTAAGCCAGTAGAATTTAAGCGAGCAGTTGTTTACATATGAACGTTTTCTTTTATGACACATAGCATGAAAAAGCAACCAAAGGAAAGGCCAGCACCTGAAGATTTAATGGTAAGTGAAAGTTCAGAGCCCCTCGGTATATATTTGTCTGTGAATACTTTTTATTCATGTATATAGAAGCGTATCCATTTTTTTCCTGCATTTTTCAGTATGTGCAAATTCAAATCTGAACTCTTCCTGGCTTGTGCAGCAATTACATATTTCCAGAGAGCACACAAACCAAAGGTGGAATTATGATGCCATTGAAGTGAACGGGTATCTTGCTGTTACCTTCATCGTGGCCAAAGCTTCACTTGTGATTTGGGGAGTTCATACAGAACTTTCACAGCCAGTATCAAGTTTCAATCAAAACCATTTTGATGCTTAATACGCATTTTTTTTTCAGTTTGTATGTCCAGGGATTACAGCTTAATGTAGGTCACTCTTTGTCATCATTTGGCAGTCGTAACCTTTCAAAATCTGAAGATTGAAAGCAGAGGATATGGTCAAAATAGTGTGGTTGTAATGAAATGCAGGAGCTACTGTTCTCACTTATATTCACGTAAAAGGAAATTAGATGGGCTACAGAAGATTGAGGTAATACGTAGCTTTGGTTTGTCCGTAGGAGGGCTCTCGGTGTTGGAATCTGAGCTCAGAGACCACTTCTTTTGCTTGCAATTGGCATTTTTTCAGTAAGGCAATAACAGGGTACCTGCTCTCAAGCCGGTCCCTTGTGGCAGTGCATTTAGTGCAGAGTGCTGTTTTGACTGGTTTTAGGCAGCTAGAAAAATACTATATCAAACACTTATTACAAATATTTACAGTAACTTGTATTGTAGGTAAGACTTGTAGTCCCCTCTGACTCGCATCAAATATCTTTGATTTTTGAATGTTTCATTACTTTTATTTATATGCTATATTTCCTGTAACTTGGAGGTTTATGTAAAATCATCATAATTTATTTTCTGTGCATTAAATATCTGGGAATAATTTTAGCAGATTTTCACAAGATAAGGACGCATTTGCATCATTTCATTTCTTGCTTGCATGCTGCGAACTGCAAGTAGAATAAACAAGTGTTTCTATTGCAGCTATTCTCTAGTTAAAGGCTAATCTTTGAAGATGCCCTGGAGCAGATATCTCACAATCCAGACTAGTCTCAATTTAGATCCTGGTTAGGAAAGTATTTAACTGTGAATCTCATTTTAAGGATATTAACTTCAATAGATCTACATTTGAAGTTAGGCACCTGCTTAAATACCTTGCTAAAATGAGGCCTTAAAGTTTATCAGAGCTCCTTCGCTTTGTGGTGGTGTGTCTCTCGTATGAAAGGCTTGCACTGCCTTATTTTGTCTTTTTTATTAACTTTTGATGGTTGGAAAATTCTTGCAGTTAGTCACATCTGAGAAAACTTGGAACAGGTTCTAGAGATGTAGACACATTTACCTTGTGCACTATTATGCTATGGCTGGATAGCTTAGCTATTAAAACAACGGAATAGGGTTTCATAAAACCTATATCTGTTTGTAAATGCATGTTTCAGTGATGCAATAGGCCTGCCACTTATAAATAAAACATCTGCAGATCGCACATACCCCCATAAGTATATATGTATGTTTGTAAGCAATAATACCACTCCAGGGTGTAGAGTCATAAAAATGAGGCCAAAGGGTGAGTGCCTACAGTACCAGGGAAGTGCACAGATTTATCTTTACAACTACATGCCCCGGAGTGTGCTAGTCTCCTTTTAAGGAGGTATTTTGTAAAATAATTTTAAAATTATAGCAGCTCAGGAAAAAAAAAAAAAAGCCTTCCTACTTTTTAAACAAAATCTTTTGTTTAATGCGTTTTTCCCCTCATGCTACTTTCTATTCAATTATAAATGAACTTGCGACAACAAGTACTAAAGCATGGAGTAGGCTGCTGCTGAAATCAAGAAGTGACCCAGTCCTTGCCTGCAATGTGGCTGACCCTCATAAGCTGCCCTAAATTCCCTCCTCCAGCCTGACGGGCTTGGAGCACCCTGGGCTCTCCTGTACCAGACTCGCTATTAGCGCGGGAGTTGCTCACCAGTCAAGCCCTTTACGTTCTTGCACTTACCTAGTCTTGTCAAGAGCACTTTATTTATAAAACTCATATGCACGTACACATTAACATATATATGTGCACACGCATAATGTATCGATCTACAGACGAGCATATCTGTGCATACATATACATACGTGTATATAAATTACCACACTTTGTTGGAAGACAGGGCCAGAACAAAAGCTGTTAAATAAGCTCTGAATTCTAGAATTGCTGACCGCAATATCCTTTCTAATTCCACGTCATCCGTTTCTGAAACCTCTGTTGCAATTTTGATGGGTATCTCCGCGTTAACTATCGGAGTGGGCAGAGTGATGCGGATACCATCGGTGAAATCCTGGACTTGTCAAGGTCAGCTTACCGTTGATTTCAATGAGAGCAGGATTTCACCTTGTTCATTGGGCTTCGGTTGGGGCTTTTTTATTTAGAAGAAATGTACTGGCAAGGGTGAAAGCTGTAACACGGAATCATCGTTAGCTTCAGACAAAGCAGTGGAGCGCAGGCTTTCTCCCCTATGGACGTTAACCGTACTGGAAGTCACTATTTTGTAACCAATTTGGTATAATTAAAGACTGAAAGCAAAATGAAGGGAGCAGAACATCAATCTTTTTCTACTCTCCTGATAATCGGTGAATTGTTAAATGCATTTTAAGAGCTGACTAACAATACCTGGAGTGCCAGATTGGCAACTCCAGTGAAGTCACGGGGTTACATCAGGGATGGATTTACCCTGTCTATCACATTAGGAAGCCCTATTTTATAAAAGTCACTATGCACATTTTGTCAGAAAATAGGGCCAAAGCCAAGGCTGTATGAAATTCCTGCATAAAGTCAGGTTTCCTAGTACCATAGATATTCTTGTGCAAGCGAACACCAAATTTCCATCACAGCTGGCGTAAATCGGGTTCCTGTATTTACAGTCGGTTGCTATGCCCTTTCTTCCCTATACCTACCCACAAAACAAGACATAACATCAGTTTCTCTGTGTATAGACAATCAACGATTTAATTGTTTCAAAGTATTTCAAATTAACAGACTTGTTCCATGGGAGTGAAAAAAAGTAATTTTGCCAAGCAGTGGGAAAATTGTCCGTCCAGGGAGAGGAACAATCTGTAATTCACCGGTGGTTATTCTGAACCTCGTGCTTACAGCGTCTGCTCTTTTGTCTCCAGTTTGTTCCCTCCTAAGAAGAGAAAGGCATACAGTCAATTAAATTGAAAATATTCCTGTTTCGGCACCAGGGAAGATGGCACAACGTCTTAGCACATTCCTCTGTCTCTATTCTCTCCCCTTCCAACTCAGTGAGTCCCCTTCCAACTCACTAAGTCTTCTGTATAAATATTTTTTTACTTTTTTTTTTTCCCCGTGAACTGCCTGTTGTCCTTTAAAACGCGGGTTTTTCTGGCATCGCCAGCCTGGCTCCCAGGGAAGCGCAGACGTGTGTGTGTGTGTACTGAGCGAGTGCGATGTGGCGGTACGGGTCCCCATTAAACTCCCACTTGTGCCGCGGGTACGGGTAGGCGTCCGCGGGCTGGTTTGGCTCAGGAAGCTGCAGATCTGACTGTATTTACGGTATTTTTCAGAAGCTTTCCATTCTAAGCTCTATTTAATGGAATCTATGCATAGTAAGTAATCAGGTCAGAGAGAAGCAACATCCCCTGTTTGAGATCAATCGCTGGCTAATACTTTATCTAGGCCACTTTATTATCTCATGCTGATTCCATTCCCATTCTCCTCCTCCTTTGTAGCATGCACTTCAGCTGTGGTAAAAGTACGTATCGCATACATATTAAAAACATATACCCATTCTATCTGTATGTAAATGTGTGAGACACAGCTGGATATTGCAGGAGTTTGATTTACTAATAGTTATTATCTGTTCTAGCTGTTCAGAGGCAAAGAGAGTTTCAGAAAACAAGCTAGCGCAGAAATTGCCTTTATGATATCACTATCCTGCTTTGGTAATTGTTTAAAATCTCTTCTTTAGCTGGAAGCTTGGCCTTTTATTTTGCAAATTGTATGTGCTTTTCAGAAAGCCAGCAGAATTGTTGAAGTCTCTTGTCGAGTTTTTTGTTAGTACAGCATTGAACTCTACCTTGCTACATATGGCTATTTAAAAGAAAGCAATTTACTTAAAGAAATTGTATTTGAAAACCCAAAAGCCAAGCAGGTAGCAGTTATTCCTTTATTCCATGGATGCAAAAAGTACAGTCTTTAGGATGCTGCTTGGATTTCTCAAGGAAAGGTATTGGGCAGGGAGAGGCAATGCTTTTGGCTAAGGATATAGTCAACTTCTGCACTTGATGGCTTTTGCACCGATCTTCTGGTTTTTGTTCAAGTCTCCAAATTTTAAACACAACTTCTAGCTTTTCTCCTTTTTTTAAATCTAAATTACTGATGCTTTTTATGTTGGCGTTTTATTAATTTAGAAGCTTTTATGATAAATTGTACATCATCTGTGTCAAAAACACTGAGCTGCTGAAAAACCTGTTCTTCGGGTTTTTTTTATTTTAATGCCTAGTGCAATTTTGAAATTTCCCATTCCTGTGCACTCAGCAATCCCTCTCTCCATTTCAGGCATGGCGTTTAGACCAGGCACCCCGGTCTCGTTAGCTACAACGGGTGGGTTTTTTTTTTTTAGATAGATCATTTGTTTGTATATTTAAATGTGTTAAGATATGCGTCAAGATATTGCACACTCTCAAAAATGGATTCTGGCTGGCTGTTCCCCAATCTCCAACCAGTATAGGAAATAAAAAATGCAAAGCTTTTGAGTAGCTGTATTTAAGTAGCTGTTTTCTAGAGGCTCTGGACAGTAGCACTTCTTACCAGGTAGAACCATTGTTTGTAGCTCTTAGGAAATACTTGTATGGTTTAAACAAATAAATGGAGGATCAGCATAATCCTACCTGGATTTTCATATAAACCTTCAGAATAAAGCCAATAAAGTACTGCCAGTTACGTTTGTCAATAAGAGGGATTTC